GAAGAGCAAGAATCTCTCTGGGCATGGTGGTACACAACTGTAATCCTAGCATGGACAAGGCACACTATGTGTTTGTAGCTAGCCTGGGCTACACAGTTAATACTGTCCAATCAGAGCTGCTACTGAAAACTGAAAAACAAAAATCCAGTAATCTGGGATTATATATATATTTTATATATGTGTGTGTATATATGTATATATATATATTTATATATAGTTTTGTTTTTTAATGGAGTGTGCAAGATGTCTCTGATTTTGTTCAGATGGCTACAGAACCAGGAAAACCTGCTGCTGTTGCTATTAATTCATAACATACTGCTATGATTTGACTTTTACTATATCTGTAAGTGTGTATATGTGTGTATGTATACATATATATACATAAATATATAATTTGAATTTGGGGAAGCTTTGGCTGTGCTGTCAACTTTGGAAAACAACATCCCAGTTTACCATGTTAAATTGGCATTGTACAGAAATCAACAGCCATATTGGTCTAGACACATTAAACTTAATTTTTCCATTTATATAGAAGTAATACACTATATTAAATATTCAGAGTCTTATCTACATGGGTTTGATCATAGAAAATAACAAAATATTCTCTAAAGAAAAAAGATCCAAGAATCTGACTCTGACTGTCCTGGCACTTACTCTGTAGACCACGCTGGTTTCAAACTCACAGAGATCCACTGTCCTCTGACTCTAGAATGCTGGAATTAAAGGTGTTCACCATCAAACCTGGCAAGGTCTGCCTTGACTCCCTTTAATTTTTTAAGACTTTTTTTGCTCTTAAAAAAAACAGAACTAGGGTGCTGGAGAGATGGCTCAGAGGTTAAGAGCACTGACTGTTCTTCTAGAAGTCCTGAGTTCAATTCCTGGCACCCACTTCTGGTGTGCAAGGTTACATGGACGCAGAATGTTGTATACATAATAAAAAATAAATAAATCTTGAAAAAAAAAAAAACAGAGCTATTGAGCTGGTCTCAGTGAGACAGGCTTCATCTTTAATCTCAGGACTCAGGAGACAGAGATAGGCCTGTGGGTTTGTGCCAGCCTGGTCTACATAGAGAGTTCTGGGCCAGCCAAACAAACAAAAAATCCAGAACTGATTAATGAGAAAAATTAGATATAATACTCTCAACAAGTATTACTAGTCACTCAATGAAAAGGTCACACAGGTGCTGAAATCAGCAGTCCCCAGCATACGGAAGGAAAGAAGAAATGAGGAGAGGAAGAGGGGAAGAAAAGGAAGGGAGAGGGAAGGAAGCAGGAGGGAGGGAGGAAGAGAGAAAAAGGAAAGATCAGGAAGCAGAGCAGAGGATGTAAATTGAGGCCTAAGCTCTCGATTGAAACTGTCCACTTTGATGACCCTTTTTGTGCCTGTGGTTTTCAGTTGTCAGGACATAGAGAAGAGCAGACATCAAGAGTCATCTGGAATTTCCTTTGTTTTCAGGCATGTCTTAAAGACATAGTGAGAGCAGGAATGCATGGGTATCCTGAAAGACTGCAACCCAAGATGATGCTGCGGAAGACAGAATGCCTGGTGAACCTGGGGAGACTACAGGAGGCGAAGCAAACCATCACTGACCTTGAAAGCAGCCTCGCTGCCAAGCCAACACTGGTACCTTCCTCTCATCACATTCTGCAGAGGAGCCTCCATCATCTGAAAGTGAAGATCCAGGACAAGGAGACCCTCCCAGAAACCTTCCCAGCAGCTCTCAGCAGAGCCTTTGAGGATATGGCCCTGGGGGAAGAGAACAGCCAGATTTCTGGGGCATCCCACTCTGTCAGCTTACACACAGACCCTTTGAAAGGCCGCCATCTAGTTGCCACAAAAGACATTCTCCCAGGAGAGCTCCTGGTGAAGGAGGATGCTTTCGTAAGTGTCCTTAACCCAGGAGAAATGCCACCACTGCATCATGGCCTAGAAAACAAGTGGGATACCAGGGTCACCAATGGAGACCTCTACTGTCACCGGTGTCTGAAGCACACTTTGGCCACAGTACCGTGTGGCGGCTGCAGCTATGCCCGGTACTGCAGCCAGGAATGTATGCAGGAGGCGTGGGAGTGTTACCATAGCACAGAGTGTCCTCTGGGGGCGCTGCTTCTCACACTTGGGGTCTTCTGCCATGTGGCCCTGAGGATGACTCTTTTAACCAGATTTGAAGATGTTGACGGAGTTGTCGGGGTGCTTTGTGATGAGACCGGTAACAAAGACGTCTGTTCACCTGGAAACAAGAATCTGGTCAAGACATTTGATTATTCAAATCAGGGGGAGAGTGAAGAGAACTACAAAAAAGGTGAAACCCCAGTTCCTGGATGCAGTGCCAGTGGGAAGTATGAAAGTAATTATAATGCTGTCTTCAGCCTTTTGCCTCACACTGAAAAACACAGCGCGGAACACAAATTCATCTGTGCCGTCAGTGTCTCTGCACTCTGCAGGCAGCTCAGAGCAGCCAGCTTGCAAACCCAGACCGGGAGCTTCAAGGCCTCCAGGGGAAGAGTTGTGACTCCAGGACTGTGTGCAGACGTGACTGTCTGGGGACTGGCCATGCTGCGACACATGCTGCAACTGCAGTGCAATGCCCAGGCGATAACATCCGTGTGGCACACAGGTGAGGCAGAAACCACTGGTCTCTCTAGAGCTCGTGTTTAAGGAGGCAAGACCTATGAAGGAAGACTAGCGTCAAACGAGTGAGTCATCAACCTGAGAGGAAAAGGCAGCTGACTTATATTATCATTGTACTATCAAGACGCTTTGTGTGCACTTCTGTAATCCAAGCTTGGGAGACAGAGACAGAATGGTTAGGAGTTCAGGACAGCCTCAGCTGTATAGCAAGTTTGAGGTTAGTCTCATGAGGCTACATGAGACCCTGTCTCTTAAAAACTTAAGGAGCCAGAGCTGGTGGTGGCCCACGCCTTTAATCCTAGCAATTAGGGGCCAAGCAAGCAAATCTCTGAGTTCAAGGCCAGCCTGGTCTACAGAGTGAGTTCCAGGACAAACAGGGCTACACAGAGAAACCGCTGTCTCAAAAAAAAAAAAAAAAAAAAAAAAAAAAAAAAAAAACTTATGGAGCCAGGCATGGTGGCACACGCCTTTAATCCCAGCACTTGAGAGACCGAGGCAAGTAGATCTCTCAGTTCAAGGTCAGCCTGGTCTATATAGCAAGATCCCCATCAGCCAAGGCTATACATAGTGAGATCCTGCCCCAAAAGTTAATAATAATAATAATAATAATAATCTAATTAATTAAAATTTAAAGACTGAAATATTTTTAAACTTTTATTTATTTTCTCTGTGCTGTGCGTGTCACAGTCACAGGAGTCAGTTCTCTCCCGCCATGTGTGTCCTGGGGACCAAACTCAGGTGGTCAGGCTCGGCGGCCCCATGCTTTTCCTTCCTCCGCCATCTCCAGTGTTTTTATTGAGTGGTCTTCATTTTGTCAGAAAATGCCGTTGAGGCCTGGGGAGATGGCTCTGTGGGGGATGCACTAGCTCTGCAAGCCTGAGAGCTGGAGTTCGGATCCCCAGGACCCAGGCAGACGCTGAGCAAGTGTGGCAGCCTGCCTGGGATTCCAGCACAGTGGAGAGCAGCAGGGTCCCTGGAGCAAGCTAGCTAACCAGACTAGCCAGATTGGTGAGTTCTGGGCTTAAGGGAGAGACCCAAGCTCAGTGTGTGTGATGGAGAGTGAGTGATCAAGGAAAATCCTTAATTAACATCAGTTGCTGGCCTCCATGGGCAAGCTCATACACACACACACACAGACATGCACAGACATCACACAAATATATGAGGGGGGTGGGGGAGAAAGTGCTGCTTAAGTTTTTTTGTTTGTTTTGTTTCGTTTTTTGCCTAGTATGATGGCACAGGCCTTTAATCCCAACATTTGGGAGGGAGGCAGGAAGCTCTGTGAATTGGAGGCCAGCCTGGTCTACGTAGCAAGCTCCAGGACAGCCAAGACTACATATAGACAGAACGTACTCAAACTAACAAATAAGCAAAAAGGTTTATTTTATATATATGAGTGCTTTGTGTATGTCTGAGTACCACATGTGTGTCTGGTGTCTGTAGAGGCCAGAAGAGGGCATCAGATCCCCTGGAACTGGAGTTACAGAAACTTAGGAAGCACCATGTGGGTGCTGGGAATCAAACCCAGGTCCTCTGAAAGAGCAGCAAGTACTCCTTTTTTTTTTT